GACATAAAAATTAAAAAGGAGGAAAACAAACAAAATAAATATTCTGCACACCCCCTACTGGGGAATGAGCCTGGAACTGAGGCATGTGCCCTGACTGGAATTGAACCAGCGACCTCTTAGTGCATTGGACAACACTCAACCAACTGAGCCACACTAGCCAAGCTACAAAACATTATTAAAAGAGATTGTAGAAGACATAAACTGGAAAAATATTCTGTTTTCATGGATTGTAAGAATCAATATAATTAAAATGGCCATATTACCCAAAGCAATATTAAATTAAATTTTATTAAGCAATATTAAATTAAATATAAAATTAAATCAGATTTAATGCAATCCACATAAAAAACTCAATGTCACTTTTAAAGAAATAGAATCAGATTTTAGAAAATCTGATTAAAGAAATTTCATTAGATTTGTATGGAACCACGAAAGACCTTGAATAGCCAAAGCAATTTTGAGAAAAAAGAATGAAGCCAGAGGCATCACACTACCTGACTTTAAATTATACTACAGAGCTATGATAATCAAAACAGCATGATATTGGCAGAAAAACAGACACACAGATCAATGGAATAGAATTGAGAGCCCAAATATAAAACCATATGAACATGGGCAGATAATTTTTAGTTTAGGTGAAAGAGCCAGAAACACACAATGGAGAAAAGCAAGCCTCTTCAAAAAATAGTGCTGGGGAAATTGGAAAGCCACATGCAAAAGAATGAAACTAGATTATAGTCTTAGCCCATGTACAAAATGAATCAAAATGGGTCAAAGACCTAAATATAAGATCTTAAACAATAAATGACATAGAAGAAAATATAGCTACCAAATGTACGGACCTTGGTTGTAGAGAATATGTTACTTCCCAAAGACAAGGGAAGTAAAGGCAAACATAAATGAATGGGACTATATCAAACTAAAAAGCTTCTGCACAGTAAAAGAAAGCGACAACAAAGAGGCAGCTGATGAATGGGTGGTGATATTTGCAAACAATAGCTCTGACAAAGATTAAACACCTAAAACACACAAAGAACTCATGAAACTCAACACTAAACAAACAAACAACCCAATTTAAAAATGGGCAGAGGACCTAAACAGACACCTCTCCCAAGAAGACATACCGCGCAGCCAACAGATATATGAAAATATGTTAACCTTTTTTCTGCCAAGGGCCACTTGGATATTTATAACATCATTCACGGGCCATATAAAATGATCAACTTAAATATTATGTTGCTATGAAAAAAGCTCCTAGATTTATTGAATTTCGAGTCCCACCTGAAATTGCGTTGGCAGGGCCAGACCAAAAGATATGGTCTGTAGGGCCAGACATTCCCACCCCTGAATTATGGAAATGCAAATCAAAACTACAATGAGTTACCACCTCATACCTGTTAGAATGGCTATAATCAACAGGGCAAGTAGTAACAAGTGTTGGAGAGGTTGTGGAGAAAAGGGTTTTGCTCATTACTGGTGGGAATATAAACTGGTACAGCCACTATGGAAAACAGTCCGGTGATTTCTCAAAACATTGAGAATAGAGGTATATATGACTCAGCAATCCTTCTCCTGGGTATATACCTGACAAGCTCGAAAACATGTATCCCCAATGATAGGCACCACTATGTTCATTGCAGCATTATTCACTGGGGCTAAGACCTGGGGACAACCAAAGTGTCCTTCCATAGAGGACTGGATGAAGAAGACGTGGTACATATAAGCAGTGGAATGTTACTCAACCACAAGGAAGGATGAAATACTGCCATTTGTGACAACATAGATGGACCTTAGAGAATATTATGCTAAGTGAAATAAGTCAGTCGGGAAAAGGTAAGAGCCATATGATTTCACTCATGTGAGGGATATAAAACTGAAACTAGTGGACACAAACAGCAATGAGGTGGTTGCCAGAGCAGGGAAAGGGGTGAGGGTGAAGGGAACCTATTATATGTTGATGAAAGATGTTTTGATTTTGGGTGGTGGGCATCCAGTGGTGGGGATACAGATCTTGTATCATAGGAATATATACTTGAAACCTATCTGATCCAATAAACCTAATAACAAAAATATCAGCACTGAATATAGGGAACACCATACCATGAACCAACGAATTTAATTTCGTTCCTTTCTAAAAATTTAGTCTAATGTTTCCATCTCAAAGAACAAATTTAAGCACCTTGAAAAATTAGATATTTGGCCCTATAAGCTAACAAGGCCGGTTTCATAGATGCTGGTAGAAGATACAAAACTCCTGGGTTAGAGTTAAAGACTGTCACTCAGGTGCAACAAGCAGTCTGAGCATCAGCTTGTTCTGTGCTGGTTTCCTGAGCTCCAATTCCCACAAGTGTAAGCGAAGAGGGTCAGGTACTGTTTGCCCATGCAGCGGGTGTTACAGGAGAGTGGCTCCAAGTTGAGGGAACTCAAATAAGCCTGCTTGCCCTTTGCTCAAGAGAGAGGCACCAGCTCTGTCTTCCAAAGCTCTAAGCAAACCTACCCTTTGTTCAGAGGGAAATACTCTAGCTTCCAAGTCTGTTCGCTCTGCAGCCTTGAAAAGGAGTCTGGGAAAAAGACCAGTTGTGCCTGAGAAACACAAGAGATCCAGGGAGAATTGTCTTTCAGTATTGGTGATGGCTGGAACCCCTTTATATAAACAGTACATCTGAGACACATTTTCTTCAATTTTTAGAATACTGGCCCCAAATGAATTTAAAAACATTGAAATGGGAACCAAATTATTTGCTGCATTCAGAATGTTTTGGAGAGTCATAATCACATCGTTCTAGGAGGACCTTAAATATATTTAATGCATATATAACACACACATATTTATAAAGCTTATTTTTACCTTCCCAATTAAAATGTAAATTTTTAGAATAATGACTGTATATATATGTATATATATCATATATATATGATATGTGTGTGTGTGTATTATTCACTTATTCTGATTTCTACATTACTTTGCATTAACTTAATAAAATTATGTAGGTCTGCCCTCCCATTTCTTCCCCCCCCACATTGCTATGAGAACAACAAAAAGTATGTTCCTGTAATTTGAGGGTTCCCATTGCCATGAAAAATGACAATATTTTCTTATCTTCAAGGTCGTTTACCCATAGGATGTAGGACCATGCCCCGCACCTAGCAGAAGTCAGTGTGTATTTTTGTATTGCATCCACTTGAACTCAGGAGCCCATTCTGCACTTTGTCAGCCCAAAGCTGCGCTTGCTCAGTACCCCATGCTGTGCTTTGAAAACAGAGAACGTTTCCTTTTCCTCAAACCTGTATGTAGACAATCATTTCAAGCTTAAAGATTCCTGTTCTTCATGGTGGTTCTAGCATGTAGGCGCACAAAACGAAGTGAAGAATTGGATATGTCCCCAGGAATATTTGTTTTATTAGGAGAAGAGGGGAGTCCAGGAGTGCCTGTTTTTTTTTTCTTCCTCTAAGAACTATCTTTCCCCCCTCCCCCAACCCTGCCCCTGCTCATTCTCATCCTCTTCAATGGGAAGGTAGCAGCCAGACTTTACTGTGGAAATATACTATCCATGCAAGTCCCACCGGAGGCTGACTCATCATCACACACACAATGCTTTGGAAAACACTGCGATCTTCTTTTCTAAGTCACACATTTCAACCAGAAAGTAAATGTTTCCGTCCTCTTTCCGCAGCCGAATCACCTCCTGCAGGAACGAGCCAACGGGTGCCCACGTGCAGGACCATCTGCCACAGCTGCTCCCCGGCCACTCCAGGGTCCTGCACACAAAGGGGGGGAGGGGGCGGGGGAGGCTGCTGGGGGCCAGGGGACTGGAGAATAACGGAGCCACGGGCTGGGGAGCGGGGAGCAGGAGCAGGCTGAACTTGGGGATCGGGATAGAGGAAGAACACAAAAATCGCCTCCTCCCCAAAGACTCAAATAGAGAAGCTGGGAGTGCGTGCGCGAGCCGAGTGCATGCTGACGTCGCCCGAGCTCGGGGCGGGATGATTAGAGAGGAGTTGGCTGCACCAGGTCCCTCCTGAGCAGCGGCAGCTGGAGCCGCAGCGGCGGCGGCAGCAGCATTAGCGGCCGGAGGAGCGCGCCCGCCGCCCGCCCGGGGGCTCCGGACGCACAAAGGCGGCGGCCGCCCACCACCCGCGTGGCCTTCTCCACCCGGGCGGCGGCGTTCAGTCCCCGCTCCCTCCTTCTCTTAGGAAATCCCCAATGGCAGGGCCGGGCGCGGGCCCGGGACAGCGGGGGCCCTGAGCTCTGCACCCCCCCCCCCCTCCGCCGGGAGAGACCGCGGGGCCCGCGATGTGCCCGCGGCGGCTCCGCTGCGCGTCCTCGGCCCGGGTCCCCGCTCCCGCCCCTCCTCTCGGCCGGATCCATCCCGCCCGGAGGAGCTGATGCTGCCGGAGCCGCGGCTGCCGGTGCCGGGAGTGCCGCATTGCCTGGCGTCCCCGCCCGCCCGCCTGCCTCCGGGGCTGCCGGGAGGAGCCGTCTGCTCTTTCTTCTCTCCTGCTCCGGGGTTCCATAGACAAGGTAGAGGCATTTTGCCGTTATTCTCCACTCCCCTTCTCCACCCTCGCACCCCACCCAGCCTTTGCCCTAAGGTACGTTCCCTGGGAGATCCCCCAGCTCCCCCGCGGCAGGCAAGCCCGTGGACATAAAGGGCCGGAGAGAGAGGCAGAAGTTGGGGGTGGGGGTGGGGAGAGCCCCGCTGGGGCCAGCGCCACCCAAAACCCTTCTGGTGCCTGATGAGATCACGGGTGGATCGGTGTAGAGGGGCGGAGGGAGGGAAGGTGAGCCATCTGCAGTCTCCACCTATTGGGATCTTAAGCATCATTTAAAATAAAACCCCACAAATATATCTTTAAAAAAAAATAGATTCGTTGGAAAGCAGAAAGGGAAATAAGCTCCCTTTCCCCTTTCTCTTTCTGTCTTTTTCTTTCTGGTAAAGACGCTCTTCCCGCTGCCCGGAGCTCAGCACTGAAGAGCCAGCTCATTCTTCATCAGGATCCCCGCCGCTGTCCGTTATCCCTGGCTGGAGCATCCTTCCGGAGGCAGCAGGGACCGCAAGAGCATCCTAGGGCTGAGGCTGGGACGCGCGTGGGGGCTGTTGTGGTCACATCTTGGGAGAGCAGAGGACAGCACCAAGACCTGCTGCCGCCCGTGCTGGTGTGATTAGGGGAAATGAGCTTACTTCTTCGGTGACAGAAAGGACAAGAAGAGGAGTGAGGTCCACATCTCTTTGCAGGAAAGGGAAGAGGGAACCCAAGTGGAGGCGCCTTTATAAGAAGTTTATATCCTTCATTGAAAAGCTGTGGGAAGGCGGGAGCAACAGGGTACTTGATTGGACCCCGGAGACAAACCATTTCCTGTGAAGAAGAGGAAGCAGGCGGCTTCCAGGGCTGGAGGCCAGGCCAGGTGTGCTGTGGGACAGTCTCCACCAGAGACAGGGGAGGCCCGGGACCAGCAGAAACCATGACTCACTTACAAGCCGGGCTGTCTCCGGAGACCCTGGAGAAAGCTCGCCTGGAGCTCAATGAGAACCCGGACACCCTGCACCAGGACATCCAGGAGGTGAGGGACATGGTCATCACCAGGCCGGACATCGGCTTTCTGCGCACGGACGACGCCTTCATCCTACGCTTCTTGCGGGCCAGGAAGTTCCACCACTTCGAGGCCTTCCGCCTCCTGGCCCAGTACTTCGAGTACCGGCAGCAGAACCTGGACATGTTCAAAAGCTTCAAGGCCACGGACCCTGGCATCAAGCAGGCGCTGAAGGATGGCTTCCCCGGGGGCCTGGCCAACCTGGACCACTATGGCAGGAAGATTCTGGTCCTCTTTGCTGCCAACTGGGATCAGAGCAGGTAAATCCTAAGTCCCAACTCCTATGAGGGGACACTTTTATTCTCCCATTTCCCAGAATTTACCCTGAGAAGCCATAGCTTGACAGCTTTCATGCTTTTGTTTATTTGGTTGGGGAAAAAAGGAGAAAACGGAACTAAACAAATAAGTTTTTGGTGGGCACTCCTGGGATGCGGGAGGGGCTTGTTTGAAGTCTTTGTAATTCTTACTTCTCTAGCACCCAGCTTCTACTGCAGCTTGAAGTGCTTCCCGCACCTTATGATGGTGCTGCAGTCAAAATAATGTAACTTCTCAATAAATGTGCTATTTTTTTCCACCTCTTAAATAAGTTCAGTGATCTCTGGAGAAATTAGTGTGAGGACAGAGACAACTTTTTCTTCTTCCTTCTGAATAAATTCTTAAACTAGACTCATCATCATCATTATCATGTTCACCATCATCTACATTATCATCATCATCATCATCTTCTTCTCTGTGACTAGTACATTATCTTTTAAGGGCAGCCTAGCATTCAACCGAGACCAGGTAGTTGTATTGCTTGGGAACTTTTCTGCTTGGTGATGTGCAGATGAAGGACTGATATGATGTGTGTCACTTCAGTGCAAAGGCAGAGTTGTATCCTCCGGCACTGAGCATGCCTACCCACGCTGAAATCAAGGGTGGCTGTTGTGGTGCTCCACACCTGTCACTAATCTAAAGGAGATGCTTCCCGTCTGATGTGATTTTTCATCTTTTGGAAGGAAGAGGAAATGTTTAGGTATGTCAGTTGGTAGACTTTTTGAGCTCTCTTGCTTTTTAATGGAGGAGAACTATGTTTATTGTATCTACAGGTGATAGAAAAAGGGAGAGAGTGACTCCTCTACTTCCTCAATCAGAACGATTTCCTCAGACTTACAGAGATAAGAAATGATAAACACTCCGGTATAAGGTAGTTTCAATGAAGTTTAAACTTAAATGTATTTCATGGAACTTAAACATGTTATCAGAACCATGAATCATAAGAAGCTGGTTGTTAAAATATTGGTGTGTTTTTTTTAGTTCTGTGAGTAGGGACTTTTGATGCATCAAGTTAGTTTAAACCATCTCTGGTTCAATTGTCAAAGACTTTTTTTTTTCAGTTATGAGAAATCTTATAGATTTCTTTCAGAGTCTTGGGATCTTAGAATGTAAATGAATAATTTTAACAGGTTTTTACCCTTTAGTTGGTTAGCTTTTCTCTGTGATTCTAGGTTGAGAACTACTCCAATCATTTTTTTTTTAGACAAATATAAAGACAAACTACTACCTGAGGAATCTTAAAATCATAAAACTAAGAAACTAATAAACAGAATTAGCCATCGAGGGGGAATAGAGTCCTGTTACATACTTTGGTTAGTTACAGAGATCCTATTTTACTTTGTATTGGTAGCAAAGTGTAAAGGACCTTGAAATGCCATTCTTTGACCACAATTTTTCTTTAACTTTTTTTTTTTTTTTAAATCTGATAAGTACATTGTAGGGTTATGCAAACCAGTGATTGTGTATATCAAAATAGAAAACTTTTATTTAAGAAAGAACCTACTATTCCAATTGTCAATTAATTAGAACTTTGTTTATTAAGCTACAGTTAAATTAGGAATTGTGGAAATTTTATGCTTAAATATGTTTTAAAGTCTAAAAGATATTAGGCAGTTCACATTTAGGGAAAGATGAATTTATTTATTATTATTCAATGTATATTAATTTTTATTTTTATTGACTTTATTGGGGTTATACTGGTAAATAAAACTATAAAGGTTTCCCATGTACAACTCAGTAAAACATCTGCATCCTACATTATGCATTCACTGACCAAAGGAAAGTCTCTTTCCATCCCCATTATCCTCTCCTTTACCCACTTCCACCTTTTTTCACCCTGCCTCCCAGTCCCCCTTCCCTCTGACAGCTGTTGGTCTGTTCTATGTATCTATCCTTCTGTTTCTGTCTTGTTTATTAGGTTATTTGTTCATTAGATTCCACAGATAAATGAGGTCATATGGTATCTGTCTTTCTCTGACCGGCTTATTTCACTTAGCATGAGACATGCATTTACTTTAGATCCATTTTAATTTATATCTATAAGTGAACTAATATGCACACTGACTTATTATAAACCTAATTAACATGAACATTGCTTAACAGTTCTCATCTATATGGGAAGTTGATTATTCCAGATTACTAAAGAGACTATGTTTTTGTTGTCTATTTCATACTTTTCTATAAAGGATAGGTTATTAGCAATAAAAAATCTATCTCCCTGGAAATCAACAATAGGAGATTTGTTAGTTGGTATATAGAGCTATTTTTTTTTATTAAATCTACATAAAAACTCTATTAAAAAATTTGTACATGTGAAATTAAAAATGAGAATTTTTTAATTTCACATGTACAAATACCCTATCAGGTTCTAAACTAATAATTGTGACTTCTGCTTCTATGGATGTACATGAGTAGACAAAATCATGAAGTTATAGTGCATCAAAGTCAAAAGGTATACAAATTATTTGGAGCTTCACTGAAATTCAGTTGAGTTTCCTCGTCCTACATTGTAAAAAAAAAGTTATTCCTCTCTTCTCCCTGCCTGCCCTCCTTCCCAAACCTACATGCACCCAATAACAAAAACTAGTGGATAAATAGGCCCATTCTCTTGGCGTCCTCTGTAAACCACTGTCATTGGTACATGTGTATAGCAACTGCCCAGAAACCAGCAGGACAGCTGCCTCTCTGGCAATACCAGCGCAACACCAGCCCTTCTCCTACCTTTGGCCTGACCCCCCTTTCTTCTTTGCTGCAGCTGTAAGTCTTACCCAACTTGGCTCGCTCCTATGGAAATTTCTACCACCTTCCTAGATATTTACCTCACTGTTGCTGTGTTAGGTGGAAGGCCATGTGCCACATCCTCATCACCCCCCACCCTGTTCCATGAGTCTGGTGTTCTCACCTTTCTGCTCTGATCCTGTAGCCCAAACAACCTGGGTCTCTTGAGAAGACTGACTGCTCATTTGAACATAACTCGGACCACCTTCCTTGAGTTGATCAGTGATATACCTGGCTTTCAACACCTTACACAGAAGATAGCATTGTTTTAAAGAAACAGTAGGTGGGAATGTCTACAATTACAGAGGGAAATTCCAGAAACCAGTTAGAAATAATGCCCCCCTTTATTTGGAAAACAGGTTATGTTCAACTTCCCAAAGGGAAACAGAAGATTTTTAAAAAATATATATATTTTATTGATTTTGTACAGAGAGGAAGGGAGAGATAGAGAGTTAGAAACATCAATGAGAGAGAGTCATCAATCAGCTGCCTCTTGCACACCCCCTACTGGGGATGTGCCCTCAACCAAGGTACATGCCCTGGACCGGAATCGAACCCGGGACCCTTCAGTCCCCAAGCCGACGCTCTATCCATTGAGCCAAACCGGTCCCTGCAACAGAAGATTTTTAAAATAAGTTTCCAAGAGCTTTGTAAAGACCTCTGAAATAATTAATTTGTATATAAAAAAGACTAAGCCGTATGTTATTATTTTTATAAGAGCACTTGACTTAGAGTTAATGCTTAATACACATTTGTTTAGTTGAATTTGGTTATACATTGAAAAATTAATCCTAAATAGAGAGTTACCTAATACAAACCTTCTCCTATATTAAATTTGTAGGACAGTTTTCTGTGCTTCTCAGGAGACTGGAAATAGTAACTGTGTGTGAGATGATGACTATAAATAAAACAGTGTCTCTTCCTACTGCAATGTAATGCAGGTCAGTTTCAGCATATTGATTTGGGCCATTTCCAAAGCCTTTACAAGAGACATGAGATTTTCAGGAAGGCCAAGGTAGAATAATATTTACAGTGTACCCAATTTCTAATAAATCTTGAAAAAAAAAAAAAAAAGAAATACTGAAATGTCAAAGTGACTTTCAGTTTGATTCGTGGTTCTTTGAAAAAGAACAGAACAGGTTGAGATGACTTATTACACTTATTGAGCAGGATGTCCTTGGAAAATACTCGTGAAACGTAGCCTTCTTTCTTTCAGATCATCTGACCTAATTTCTGAAAGCGAGAGTGAATTCTGCACCTTTAAAAACAATTGAATTATTTCACTGCATCCCTCGGATGTAGTAGCCCTCCATATATTACATTCTGTGTGTCTTTCATGAGTGATAGTGCCCTGCTTAGGACTCAGCAAATCCTTCAAATTTCCACCTGACTTCAACAACAGAATGTGAGGATGATGTACCCTGAAGTTAGAAGAGATTGCAAAGGAAGCTAGAAAACAAAGTTTGGAATAAAACTAGGTCATGATCTACACGTTAGGACGGTGATCGGCAAACTCATTGGTCAACAGAGCGAAATATCAACAGTACAACGATTGAAATTGCTTTTGAGAGCCAAATTTTTTAAACTTAAACTTCTTCTAACGCCACTTCTTCAAAATAGTCTTGCCCAGGCCATGGTATTTTATGGAAGACCCACACTCAAGGGGCCAAAGAGCCGCATGTGGCTCTCGAGCCGCAGTTTGCCGACTACTGCCCTAGGACATGAGAGCAGGTATCTGAGGAGTCATATGTACGTACTGGGAATATTCATGAGTAAATTGTGTCACCTGAAATATAATGATGACACATATTCTGATAGTTGAGTTGTAATTTTCAGCCTTCAAGTTGTACTTTACCTCATTACTGACAAAGTAGTTCTCTATACTTTAGTGCTGCAAACAGTGATTTATTTGGAATCTGGTTAATAATGGCATGAAAACCATTAAGAACAGTTAAATGAAAATAATTCTTAACATAGTGGCAATTCAGAGAGCACTGACCATCTTGCACTCTGTTTGGCTTGTCATAATGAATATTGATCATCGCTTAGAGTATCGAAGCTCTGGAAGGGGTAGATGCCTGACTGGTCAGACCTGCTATGATCCTGAAACTTATCCAGGAATTTGCCTAAACACTGTATTATTGTCAGTTTGTTTAGTTTGTGTGGC